CCTTTTGGTGTTCTGCTTAGTTAGTCTGTTAAACTGATGTGCCTGTACTAATTCTTAAGCAGTACCAAATAGTTTTGTTGACTTTTTTTTTTGTAATAGAGTTTGAAGTTTGTTGTTGCTAGACCCACTTTATTCCTACCTTTTTAAAAAAAATTAATATCTTTGCTGTTCTTGACTTTTTATTCTTACCTCTAACACAATGAGCAAGCATTTATTAAACACCTTAGGTGTTAATCTGTTCTAATTCCCACATTATCAAGTCAGGAAACCAGGGTCCCAGTTGGTTAAATAGCCCACTAAAATGGCAGAAGCATGATCAGAAAAGGCTTCATATAGAAATGGTATGTCAATTGGATCGAAGTAAACTAGAGATTCTAAGGTAGAGGTGGGGCAGGGGGATGACAGCCATAGCAAACGTGTGGAGATGGGAGATAAAGTGCTGTGTTTGAGGAGAAATAAAATTGATTTGCCTGGATTATGATGTACAAAAACGGAAATAATGTGTATTAAGGCTGAAAAGCTATGAGAACAGGTTTCCAAAACAGGTTTTTTTTTCATCCTAGTAGAAATCAGGAGCTACTGGAGTTTATTGAGTTAAGGGGATGACAGGGTCAGATATGTAGTTCAAGAAAATCATTTGAGAAGCTTTGTGGAGAATGGTTTGGAAAGAGGTATAAGGTAGGAAAAATATTTAGGAGACTGTTGTAATAATCTAGGTGAGAGGTGGTGAAGCTCTCCACTAGAGTGGTGTATGTATGAGCAGATATAAAGAATGAGATTTAAGAAGTAGTGTAGAAAGAATAAAGTTTTGCAACTGATTGTATATATGAGAAGGTAGAAAGACATGAAGAATCAACAGTTACAATGAAGTTACAAACCTGGGTGAATAGAAGGATCATAGGGTGGTAATAGCCATGATAGAAGTTTAAAAGACAGGTGTTTTTGGTTAAAAGATAATATGCCTATTGTACATCTAGTGTGAAATTTCAAGTAGGTAATTGGTAATGGTGAGACTGGATCTCAAGTAAGAGACTAGGTGGATGGGGGCGGGGAGGAGAGAGAGAGACAGACAGAGATCTGGGAGTTGTCTACATTGAGAATAATTGAACTCATGAGAAATGATTGGCTCAGCAAGAATGAGTATTGAGAAGACAATAAGACAATCTAGGACAGAGACTTGTGTACCCACAGTTTAGGGGCATAATATTGTTGTTGAGCCAACAAAAGAAATTTAGGAGTAGTTAGACAGGGAGAAAACCTAAGAGTGTCATGAAAAGCCAAAAGGAGAAGAAAGTGTCTAGCACAGGAGGGTGGTGAGTAGTGTAAAAGTGGTGCAAAGAAGTCAATAAAGATGATTGATTATAAAGTGTCAGCAGGGGAGGGAGAAAAGAAGAAATTGAAGTGACTAACGTAGATAGGGTTTTCTAAGTGTCAGGAGAGAAATTCTGAAAGACAGAGTTCCAAGCAAGAGCATGATCCATTTATTAGTAAGGCTAGCAGTTACTGACCAGAAAGCTATGTTAATTGTTTTATGGGACCTATCTACATCTTGTAATCTTTGCTTAGGTGATCAAAACTACCAGATTTCCTGTCTCTTTGGAACAGATAAAAACTCCCCTAATTGTATAAGGGCAGGCAAGGACAGACACCATATCTTTTGGGGATGGTACCAAGTTAATCTGTAGGGCTTAAAGATAACAAATAGATGTAGATGTCCTGGAAATATCCCAGGGGCTACTGGTATGAAAGATAACAACTTTTAATTATAAATTTAAGCTAACTCAGAAAGCTAAATTCTTGAGCTGAACTCAAGGACATAGAAAGGGGACTTAAGCAGATATAGAATCAAATATACTATGAAAATAATACAATAAGGAATCAATTACTAAGTAGAATTAATTTGAATTTTTCAGTTAAACTTTTTGTGGCTTCCACTTTTTATTGTTGTGGTTGTGCTTTCCATTTCCATTTGATTTATTGTGTATTTTTCCTATTTCAGCCTACTTTGTATTATATCCTGTCTTTCCATGCTTTCATAAACCATCAAATTCACCATTTCTTAGAAAAATTGAGAAAGACGACAACCTTACTAAACTTACTTTGTGATATAACTGTAGTCTCAGTACCTAAACCAGAGAAGGATAAAGGAAAGAAAGAGGATTTTAGATGATTTATCATTGGTGAATATTGAGTTGTCAAAAAAAAATTCATTATGCTGAAAAGACTGTAGTGATATATCTAAAAATTATTCATCATAATCAAGTTGTATGTTTACCAGAGTTGCAGAGATATTCCCTATTAGGAAAACAATCATATTGAATACAAAAATATGCAAACCACAGTTATGCCAATGAGTGTAGATAAAACCTTTGACAAAGTATAATACCTTCTTAAGCTAAATATCCCACAAAATGGAGGCATAAAATGAAACTTTCTGAACATAAGAAGTATAAGTGAAAAGCTATCTTTGTATACAATAGAGGAGACACTAGAAATTTTCCCAATAAATCCCGGAGTATAGAAAGGACACCCCATTTCTCTGCTGTTATTTGACCTAGTTCTGGAACTCTAATGATAGAAATAAAACAAGAGCAAGAAATTAAAAATATTAATAATAGGCAAAGAGTAGATAAAACTCCCTCTTTAATGATGAAATTATGGTTTATATAGGAAACACCAGAGATGCAACAAAGAAGCTTAACTAACATCTTTAAGAAAAGGATGGGTTACCAAATAAATCTGCAAAGAGCACTTCTTTATAGCAATGATAAAATTCAGTATAGAGATTTCTGAAAATGACTACAAAATGCATGAAATATATGAGAGATAGTCAATAAGACACACTCAAGACCTATTCTCGCTTTCTCTCTCTCTCTGTATCTATCTTATCTCTCTTGAGACTTGATCTCCCTTTGTTGCCAGACTGTATGTGCTTGACGTCAACACTGCTGTACAAGATGTTGCAAAAATCTTCGTGAAGTTTTAACTTTAATATAAGTTTTAACACTATACTAAAAGACTTTTGAGACACCCTATATAATAAAAATGAGACTACCATATAAATTAATTCACAGATTTATTACTCTTATAAACAACCAAGGGGATATTTCATATTGGCAGACAAAGTAATAACATTTATTTGAAGGAATAAAGGAGCCAAAATCTAAAGGAAAGTTTTTTTTTTAACTAGAGTTGAAAGAGGGAAATAGTACTTCTCTACACCTCCAAGTAAATCAGTTGTTACCAAAATCATTTGACACTTTAAAAATTACAAACGTATTTTAGTAGAGTGGAATAGGTAAAAGATGGATTTGAAATAATTCTTTTCAACAATACAGTTTTACTAAACCTGAGAACAAAAGTTATTTGGGGATGAACTCAGAATTTGACAAGAAATTGCTGGTAAAATACTGAAGTTAGGCTGAATTAGGTTTACACTAACATCTTAGTATTTCAATAAATTCAAAATGAATATATCAACTTTTATTTTTTGTTTTTTAAAAAAAGTATGATTTATTTAAACATTCTTTTTTTAAAAATTTTGAGTTCACAATTCTCCCTCCATTTAGCCCCTTCCCCACTCATTGAGAAGGTAAGCTATAAATATGATACCAATTATACTTGTGAAATCATGCACAACATATTTCCATATTAACCATGTTGACCCCCTCAAAAAAGGCCAAAAAAAAAAAAGAGAGTACACTTCATTGTGTACTCAACTTCATCCGTTCTCTCTCAGGAGGTCAATAGCATTTTTCATAAGTTGTTTGGAATTTTCTTGGCTCATTGTGTTGATTGGAGTAGCTAAGTCTTTCACAGTTGATCATTATTATAATATTGTTGTTATTATGTTCTTTTTCTGAAATCCTGCTCATCCTTTCTTAGTAGCATAATAGTATTCTATCACAGTCATGTACCATAACTTTTTCAGCTATTCTCCAATTGAGGGACATCCCCTCAGTTTCTAATTCTTACCCACCACAAAAAAAGTTGCTATGAATATTTGTGTCATATAGTCCTTTTCCTTTTTCTTTGATCTCTTTGGGATACAGAACTAGTAGTGGTATTAGGTTAGAGGGTATGCAAGTTTTATATGCCTTTGGACATAATTTCAAATTATTCTCCAGAATAGAAAGACCAATTCACAATTCCTCTAGCACTGCATGAGTGTCCCTTTCTTTCTACATCTCTTCCAGCAACAAACCTTAATTTTAGAGATCATATCAAATAAAAAAGAACCAGACCAGGTAGTACCTTTCACAGTATTGGTTCAGGGTGAATTTTAGGCAAAGAATGATAACCACAAATCATAAAATAGATCATTTCAGTTACATGAAACTGAAAAGCATTGGTGCTAACAATGAAAAGATGAGAAGGGATACTATCATTTGAGGAAAAACACCTATTAATAACTCTGATAGTAGTTTTCTATCCAATATACAATGGGAAGTAATACAAATATGGAACAACAAAAACTTTTTCTTGAAGGACAAATGTTTCAGGGATATGGAAAAAAAGTCTTATTAATGTTAATAGAATTGCATGCTATTAAGAATTATATGAAAGATCTCTCTACATTTCTATTAAGATGAGAAATGTAAATCAAAAGTACTGATGTCCAGAAAATTGAGAAAGACTAGAAGTCATAGCCTAGAGGGAAATTGAGCAAGCCATAATTGGCCATCCCAAAGCAAAACAAAACCCAATAGGTGCTGTGGTTCTGGTCATTTTAGAAGCCAATGCTCTTAAGTTTCCAGTAGTACAGAAAGAAAAGAACTCCACTAAATTGTCATTTCCAAACATGTATGATTATCATAATGAGAGAAAGTAGAGATAAATATTGCTACAAAAATGTTATATGACATTTCAGCAAAAGACCTATAGCATTATATGAAAAAATAAATGTTGATCATTTTCTTGATGGCAAAGTCAGAAAACTGTTTACTGTATTTTCTTTTCAAATTTAGTAGGAAATGTTTACATTTTTTTTTTTCTTTCAGATTGGGTGACTAGGCCTGGAACTAAGCAGTTAACAGAGAAAAGACTTAGAAGGGATGGTTCCTATGTCTTTAAATTGGGAGAAGCATTGAAATATTATGTCAGTTTGGAGAAGCAGGAGCAGAACCGTGAGGAGAAACATTCTAGGCAAGTAAAAATCATCCAAAGGAAAAATCCTAACAAATTTAAGACTTTTCAGGCTTTTAAATTCAGTCCATTTTTCTTAGCTGATGTCCATATAAGAAGCTCTCCATAAATATGATATACATGAGTAGAATTTCAGACATTATTCAATCTTAAGCAGTAGTTAATAGATCATTATCAAAAGATCAATTTTCTAAATATAATGAACATGAAGATTGAGGTTATTCAGATATTTTCAATAGCTTAGAAATTACATGAATGTAATTCATGTAGGTAAGCTTGGCAACCACAATTCATCCATTATTTCTCATCACAGAATTCCTATTGGAGAAAATCTCCATAAAAGTCATGAATATACCAAGGCCTTCTGGAATACACACATGGTCGATCATCAAACAATTCACAGTAGAGAGAAGCCTTATGAATGTAATTATTGTGGAAAGGCCTTCCGTTCCAGCTCATACCTTATTCAACATCAGAGAACTCATACTGGGGAGAAACCTTATGAATGCAGTGATTGTGGAAAAACCTTCCGCTGGAGCTCACAGTTTACTCAACATCAAAGACTGCATAGTGGAGTGAAACTTTATAAATGTAATGATTGTGGGAAGGTATTCCCGAATAGGACATACCTTACTGAACATCAGAGAATTCATACTGGAGAGAAGCCTTTTGAATGTAATGATTGTGGGAGGACCTTCCGATGGAGCTCACAGTTTACTCAACATCAGAGACTGCATACTGGCGTGAAACTTTTTAAATGTGATGATTGTGGCAAAGTATTCCCCAATAAGACATACCTTAGTGAGCATCAGAGAATTCACACTGGAGAGAAACCTTATGAATGTAATGACTGTGGGAAGACCTTCCGATGGAGTTCACAGTTAACTCTTCATCAGAGAACTCATACTGGAGAGAAACCTTATAAATGTAATAATTGTGAAAGGGCCTTCCGTAGCAAATTACACCTTACTCGACATCAAAGACTTCATACTGGAGAGAAACCTTACGAGTGTCATGAATGTGGTGAGTCTTTCCGGTGGAGCTCACAGTTGACTGTACATCGGAAAATTCATACTGGAGATGCTCCTTACAAATGTGATGATTGTGGGAAGGTCTTCTGCTGGAGCTCACAGTTTATTGAACACCAAAGAATCCATACTGGAGAAAAACCCTACAAGTGTAACGACTGTGGAAAGGCCTTTGGCTGGCTCTCACAATTTACTAGACATCTAAGAATACATACAGGAGAGAAAACTTACAAATGTTATGAATGTGGAAAGACCTTCCTTGACAGCACATATCTTACTGAACATCAGAGAATTCATACTGGAGAGAAGCCTTATGAATGCAATGATTGTGGAAAGGTCTTCCACTGGAGTTCATACCTTACTCAACATCAGAAAACTCATACTGGAGAGAAGCCTTATAAATGTAATGAATGTGGAAAGAACTTCTGCTGGAGGTCACAGTTTACTCAACATCAGAGACAGCATACTGGATTAAAGTTATATAAGTGTAATGATTGTGGGAAATCCTTCCTTAACAAGACATACCTTACTCAACATAGGAGGACTCATACCAGAGAGAAGCCTTATAAGTGTAATGAGTGTGGAAAAAACTTTCGCTGGAGCTCACAATTTACTCAACATCAGAGACTGCATACTGGAGTAAAACTGTATCCATGTAATGATTGTGGGAAGTCATTCCTTAGTAACACATACCTTACTCAACATAAGAGGACTCATACAAGAGAGAAGCCTTATAAGTGTAATGATTGTGGGAGGACCTTCCGATGGAGCTCACAGTTTACTCAGCATCAAAGACTGCATACTGGAGTGAAACTTTTTAAATGTGATGATTGTGGAAAGGTATTCCCCAATAAGACATACCTTAGTGAACATCAGAGAATTCATACTGGAGAGAAGCCTTTTGAATGTAGTGATTGTGGGAGGGCCTTCCGATGGAGTTCACAGTTAACTATACATCAGAGAACTCATACTGGAGAGAAGCCTTATAAATGTAACAGTTGTGAGAAAGCTTTCCGTTGCAAATTAAACCTTAATAGACATCAGAGAATTCATGCTGGAAAAAAATAAGTGTAATAATTGTCAGTGGCCTTTGGCTAACTCTCTCAACTTACATGACATCTGTGAATTCATACAGGAGGAAAAATACCTATCTATGTTACAAATACAGAAAGACTTGCCTCAACCACATATATTACTGAATTATTAGAGAATTCTACTGGAGAGAAGCCTTCTGAATGTAACAATTGTGAAAACACCTTACATACCAACCCACATGTTACTGGACATAAGAGACTCCAAATTGGAAAGAAACTTCATGAATGTAGGAACATTTTCCACTGGAGCTCACAGTTTACACAGTATCAGAGAATACAAGCTCTTATGAAAGTTGTACTTGAGAATTTTTTCTCAAGTGACAACTGAACATCAGAGAATGTATACTGCAGAGAAACATTATGAACATAGAAAGGCTTTTCATGAAAAGTGAGCTCTTCCTCAACATCAGTTAACTCATACTGGAGAGAAACCCTATAAATATAGTGAATGTGGAAAGATCTTTGAGAGCAGAGCTGTTACTCAAAGTCAGTGCTCATATCGGAAAAAACTTATGGAGATAGAAACTTGTGAATGTAATTGAGAAGACTTTCAGCTAGTTGAGCTGAGTCTGAAAGGAAATCAGGAATTGAATGAGGAGATTTAAGATTAGAGGGCAATTCAAGTATGGGGTTCAGAGTGTTCAAAGACAGAGTTGTAAGCTGCATCGATATCATATCGAGATTCTCTGGAACCATTTCTCCTCAAAACCTCCACCCCCAACTTTGCTATGTAGATTAGGACAGGTCTTGCCCTGAAAGGCAAGGCAGCTTTCCCCAAGACTTAATTGGCAAGTAGGTTAAGGCTCAAGCTGTCTGGCTGTTGATGCATCTTCTTTAAGTTATGTTAAGATAGCTTCCTAGTCATATAAGAACATAAAAAAGCTAGACTCCCAATTCTTGGGGATTTAGCACATTCTCCCCTGCTCACCAGATTTGTTTCCATATGTAGAAGAAAGGTGGCCTGTCTATCCAAGCTAAGTGTTGCACCCTTATTGAGTATCTTTCTTATGCTATGGCTAAGTAAATCTTTTAACCATTGAATGAGAATGAGTGTCTCATTCCTTTATAATATTTGACTTAAACTAGTGGACCAGCTTGAGGCAGGCCTAGTCCACAACATTCCATTTATCTGGATCAAAGTGCCTGGAGAGGAATAATGTGTGAGTACACTAGAGATAAGAAGGGCCCTGAGTGTAAAGAATTTTCAATGACGGAGATGGTTATATTCTAGAGCAGGGATGGGGAACCTGTGGCCTGGAGGCCACATGTGGCCCTCTAGGTCCTCAAGTGCTGTGTTCTGTGACGTTTGTATTTAGTCAAAGGGCCACATTTGAGGACCTAGAGGGCCACATGTGGCCTCCAGGCCACAGGTTCCCCACTCATGTCTAGAGGCACTAAGGAGCCACTGGAGTTGTGTAGGACAAGTAATATTATTTCTATTGTCAGACCTATGAGTTAAGAAAATCACTGGATGTGTGGAGTATGGATTTGAGTAGGAAGAGGCTAAGGCAAAGAAACCAAATAGCAGGTTATTTGCAATAGTCTGAGTGAGAAATGTGATGAGGACCTGAATTAAGGTGGGAGCTATATGGGTGAAGAAAACAGGAAATATATCCATCTTTGTAGAGAGACGATTGATAAGATTTGACAGCTGATTGGAAGTAGGGAGTAAGAGAGAGTAATTAAGGATTACACAGGGGTTGGGGACCTAAGTGACTGAAAGAAATTGTATCTTATACAGAATTAGGAACAGTCTGATGAACAGTGGTTTCAAGGAGGTGAAAAGATAATGAATTTTATCATCTACGTGAGAAACCTGTGGGGAAATCCAGTTAAAGTGCCTGTTAGTATGGATACTATGTGATATGGAACTGAAGCTCAGTAGAGAGCCTATGGTTAGATATATAAATCTGCAAGTTTTCTGCTTTGAGATGGTAATTAGACCCCTGGAATATGATGAGATAGCTAAAGAAGATAAGGCAGAGAAAAGACCCGGTATAGAACCTTGTGTTGTACCCACTATTAGTGACATATCACAGATGAAGATTGAGCAAAGGAAAAGAAAGAGTGATCAGCCAAGCAAGAGGAAAACCAGGACAGAACAGTGTCCAGAAAACCCAGAAAGGAAAGTATAGTAAACAGTATCAAGTACTACAAACAGGTTGAGAATGATGGCACCACTTGTTGGTTTATATTGTACTCAGCAAGTTCAGGTGTGAGTTGAACTAGATGGCAGCTAAGCTTCCTTTGAACTCTAAAATCTTATAATTAAGTGAGTACTTTGACCCAATGAGCTCTGATTTTTTTTTAACCATTTAAAAATTATAAACTGTCCTTCATAAATGATCAAACTACAGATAAAGAAAAATGTATCATTAACATTTTAAAAAGTAAAACCACTCAAATTCACAACATAAAACAGTTTTTCTTTTTGTTCTATATCCCTTTTTAGGATTCTGAATCTGCTACCTTTAACTTTTTATCCTGGTTCTTGACCCCATTGATTATCCATTTGCAGTGTCAGTCCAAACATACACGGTATTCCAGAAGTCTTAGTGCAGTTTTAAGTTTAAATAACCTTAGAACTTCACTAAGATTTTTGGAACTGCCCCGCATATATACACACACACACATCCCTCTCTCTTCCCCCTCCCGTCCCTCCCTCTGTCTTCTCACACACACACACACACACACACACACACACACACACACAGATGGAAGAGTTCTATAGATTGGCCATCTAATTTTTATATCACGTTCCAGACAATAGATGTTTTTCCTGTGTGAATAATTAGGCCAAATTCTCAAGTGATTGTATATCTCATTTAGGAGGCTCTTCAGTGTTCTGAAATTTGAGACTATCATTACAATGAATGTCATTCACAAGAGCACCTAAAGAACCTCACCACCTTTTGGGAATGACACATATCATATAAACACACTAATATACTATATTTCAAAAGAAGGTTGCATTCAATCTACATACAGTTCTTCTAATCACACTTTGTATCACTTTGAATAGGCTGTTTCATACTGCTTTTTTCGTTTTATATTTCCTAATTAATAGCATGATTGTTTTGCATTGTATCATACTTTATTCAGCCATCCTCCTATCATTATGTTTATGTGTGTGTGTGTGTTATTGGCATTTTTGCTTTTGCATAAAGGTCCTGAGTATATTTTAGAATAGAAGCCCTTTTTTCATTTTCATTATAAATTTAGTATGAAGTCCTTTTATGAAATTGCTAGGATGAAATGTCTGGTCAGTATTTTCACTCATTGAATATTATGGCATTCTTAAATGTTTGCAAGTTTACTATTTCGTTAAATATTTAATGAAAGGTCTATTTTACCCACAATCCCTACATCATTAGAACTTTCTTGAGTTTGAAGGCATTTTGTTTATTATCTAAATTAAATTTACAATATGATGAGTCAAGGTATTGTCCGTAAAAGGAAAAAATGCCAATCCATGGGAGAATGACCGAACAGATTACAGTAGAAGAATGTAATGGAAATTATTGTAATATAAAAAATGATAGAAAGGGATGATTTGGGAAAAAATGAAGAGGGTTGCATGTAAGAAACAACATTGCAAAACTTAACTCTAAATAGCTCAAAGATCAGCAAAAATTTGAGAGGACTGTTGAATGCTCTCAAATTCGTGATGGAGAAGTGATGGACTCAAGTTGTAGAATACATTGGAGTTGAGATATGTTTTTGGATACACCCAATATGGGAATTTATTTTGCTTAACTGCATGTGTATTAGAAAAAGAGGAGAAACTATCCTCTCCTGTTTGACCATATTACTTACATTTTAAAAGGAAGACAAAGGGTTTTTGATCGCTTTTCTTTCTCTAGTTATTTTCTTTTCAAGTATAACAGAGACATGGAGCAGAGAGACAGAAGGAAATATTGCCAAGTTCCTCCTTTTCCCTGCCCCCCAAAACTCCCTTCAAAACATCTAGAAAATGCATCACACTGACTCTTGAGGGTAAAATCCTCGAAAAAAGTCAGTGAATCATTTTTCCAGCCCATGTCTGCGTAGGGAGATGGAGAGGTCTCTGGACCCTGAGGACAGTCTGGCTACAAGTATGCTGTGTGCACAAGCACTCCAGTGCAGAGAAAGGCTGTGCCTAGGTAAGACTTGGTCCCTAACCCATACCAAAGCATCTCAACTTTGTGCAGGCTTCAGGAACAGGTGCCACTTGACAGTTTTGTTGCCTGCTACCTGGTTCTAAGTCACAGATCCAAGGTAGATTGAAGAGAAAACCTTTGGCCAAGGATGTGAAAAGAGGCCCTGGGCTGTGCAGTGGGAGTATCATATTTAGAAACAAAGCAGGAGTGTGGCCCAGATCTCAGGAGCAGGGTGGAGTCTCATTTCCAGCCTCTAGCCCCATCTGAATCCTACAGGGGATAACCAGAACAGGATAGACCCAAAAGGAACCTACGGTTTTCTCACTCTGACCCAGAAGATTTTACCAGCTGGGCAATAATGGCTGTATCAAGTAGTTATCTATGCTTGCTCAGAACCAGATCAGGAACTTGCAAAGTTCAAACCAGGGGGTCAGTAATCATATTTTGCTGTGGTTCAGACCACTTCAGAAGTACTGGGAGCTTGCAAGCCTCAGCTTCGCTGGACAGTACTCAGTATTGCTGAAGTCAGAAAGTGGTCTAGAATAAGCAAACGAAAAGAATCCCACCATGAAAAAGCTATTTGATGACAGATGCTTAAGACAGACTTAGTAAAGAGGGACTCTAAAACACCTACAAGCAAAGTCTCAAAGAACACAGCTTAAGTACAAGTTCAAATAGAATTCCTGAGAAGAGATGAAGCAAGAGTTTTAAAATGTTTTTAGAAATGAAATGAGAGTGCTTGAGGAAAAAAATTGGAGAAGAAATGAGAGCTATAGAAGAAAGAATTGAAAAGGGAATTATAAGCTTGGTATAAGGTTATAAAATCTTGCACAGGAAACAAACTCACTGAAAATTAGAATGGACCAAGTAGAAGCCAAAAACTCCATGAGATAGTCAGAAACATTCAGAAGTCAAAAGACTGAAAATATAAGAAGAAAATATGGGGTATCTCATAATAAAAACAACTGATCTGAAAAAATGGATTGAGGAGAGAAAAATTTAGAATCATTGGACTACCAGAATGCCTTGACCAGAAAAAAGAGGCTAAAATCTTAAAATTATCTACAGCTCTTAGAAACCTCAAAATAAAAACGCCCAATAAGATTATAGCCAAAATCTAGAAACTAGGTTGAAGAAAAAATATTGCAGGCAGCCTGAAAGGATTCAAGTATATAGTGATGAGGACCACATTTAATTTAGCCACTGGCACTATAAAAGTGGGAAAAGATTGGAATACAATATTCTGGAAGACAATATAGGCTTACAGAACAAAGCATAATCTATAGGGAGAAAAACAGACCATAATGAAAAGACCAGAGCTTTATAGAAACATTAAAATTTAAACAGGCATGAAAAGAAAAGTAAAAAGGTAAACGTGAATGAACAGTTATAAAGGACTATGCAAAAATGAACTTCTTACATTAAAATATGGGGAAATGATGCATGTCTCTCCTGATGTTATTGTCATTAGATATTGTAAAAGGAGTCTAATTAGAGAGCAGGCCTGGGAGTACTTCTGTTATGTCTTAATGGTCTTAGGAGAGCAATAGAAAGAAGAGAAGAATATACTGGAAAGAGAAAAGAAGATGGTGAAAAATAATCTCACATAATCAGGGTACACAAGTAACCATATACAAATGAGGAGTACAGTGGGAGGAAGCAGTTGACCCTTGAATCTCACTCATCTGAACTGGTCAAAGAAAGGAAGAATACCCATAGACTTAGATGCTAAAATATATTCATTCAAGGGGAAAAGGGAGAATTAGAGGGAAGGCAGATTAAGAGAGGGATTAGTCTTAAGCAAAACAAACTTAAAGATGTACAAAGATATTTCTAATTCTTTTGATTTAGCAGTCAATGGGAATCTGAAGGAGGTGCTCATATTGAGGAATGGATGAACAAGTTACAATATATGAATGTAATGCAGTTCTCTTGTGCTATAAGCACAATGATGAAATGGATGGTTTGAGAGAAACCTGGGAAAACTTATATAAACTCATGCAGTGCAGTAGACAGAACCAGGTAAACAGTTTTTATATATATAAAATATAGCAAAGACACAACTTTGAAAGAATTAGGAACTCTTTATCAGCATCATG